ATCCTTTCAAGGTGTGACATTGGAGTTCACCAATGAAAGGCCAGGCAGTTTGCGCAGTTGTGAGCGTGACTCACTGCTTTGAGCCCTACTAAATTCATCCAGGTCCAAAGTCCAAATTCATTTTCGCCATACCGGTATTGTAAACATTCTCAATTTGTTTTTTCCTACTGGGTCACTTATTCCTGGAAGCTTTCTGCTTCGCATCGTTTTGCCTTTCCATGGTCTCATCTAGCTAATCTTGTGACTCTTAACATGTGCTTCACACCACACACCATTGACGACAGCCACCACGAGTTATGCCATGAGTCAGCGGGCGAGTCACCTTCAGCTGACCACAGTTGCCCAGTTTGGATGATGCGCGCCTGGCGCAACGGGTGGCGCAAGACTTGGCACCACGGATCTGTTATCCAAAGGACCATAAGGCTTGACGCGAGCCTCCGCATGATGTATAATACTGGGTCGGTCACTCGTAAGAGCCAAGCGGGATGCACAGGAATTTGTTTAGGAATTTGCTTAGGACCACGTATTAAGATTCTATCAAATTTCTACTGGTGACCTTGGGGGCAGATGGAACCTGCGAAACGAACACCGCTTCAGAAAGAGAGCTGCGCAATCCGCCAGGAAAAACCACCTGGGTCCTCTCATCCCAGCCGCCCGGGCACGCTTTGGCCTGAGATGGCAGCCAGATGGCTGGTGGGACCAGCACTCACACAATTTATTTGGCTATCCAGAAGCGGGGAAAAAGGCCATTGAATGGCCATTGGATTTGGATGCGATTGATTTCACATGATATTGGTGGATCTTTGGCATCTATGTTCGGACACGACACACCCTTCTGATCATGCTTGGGAACGTGCTTGTGCAGTACACAAAACTGGACAGCATGTTCCCACGGTAGGGAAGCGGAGAAGATGGTCGCAACATGTCGCAACGGAGCAACTCAATATAACTCAATGCAGTTCATGTGGCAACTCATGCGGCAAGTCATGATGCAACTGACGAGGCAACTCATCATATAATTTATTTCACAATCCATGCCAGGAAATCAAAGCGATTCAAACATCTCCATGTCCCGGGGACTTGGACCATCTTGGACCATCTCGGACCATCTCGCTCCGATGATGTTGGTCGATTCATCGATTGTTCAGCATGCGCCAAGGCCGGTCCGAAGTCCTTTTTCTGCACGGAGTGTTTGCAGCACACGTAGTGCCCAGGCGTGGTTGACACCTGAAGCCACAGGATAGATTCAAAACATGTGGTGGGTGGAAATGCTAGATGTTCACTTGAAACTTAAGATGTTCACTCTGTACGGAAGCTTGCGCTCAGAAACTCATCGGGTTTTATAGCTGTGCAGCAGAGCACGGACTCTCGTTAAATAATCGTTAAATGATATTCTTTTCTCACAGCCACCTGCAAGGTGAGGCAGGAACAAAGTCCCACAGATATGCGGAGAACATGTTTGACTGCGAATGTCTAGATACAGAAGAGTAGCGCCAATATTCCAGCTTATGCACCTCAAGGGTGCAACCCCTGGTGAGGAATCTCGAGTGTATAAAACACGGCAACATAAAGGCAAGTATCGCAAAGATCAAATGTAGACGAGCTGAATGCAATGAGCTTCCTCTTTGTTTCGTTTCGTAGGCAGCTCGAAGCAAGAGCACTCTACAACTTGGTGCAAAGAGGCAGGGGGGGTGGCAGGGGTGCTACTGTTGGAAGGCGGAGACTAGGCCTTGTCGCAAATGGATGCAAATGGTACTGCCTTTCACAAGGTTTGTAACACTGTAGTAATACGATCCAACCAATCCAATCAGGCATTTAAAGCGATCACCTGAAAGGGCTTAGTCTCATTATGTCTCATTGGTCTCGCCATAATTTGATCACAAAAATTGGCTTCAAAAAGAGGTTGATGTCATCAGTTGCTGCTCCCCTCAAAAAAAAAAGGTCTTGTAGCCCTGGGCTCCTTGGCCAAAAAGAAGCTGTCCCTGCATGTCCCTGCGATAACTCTGCAAGGCCACACAGCGCCAGCTCGGCGGGTCGCCCACCATTTGATGGAGTTTTTCAACGACTGGGTCCTCTCGGTGTGGGTTGCTGGGAGGTATTGTCATTAAGTTCCATCAACATCCATGCTCTCTTGAGGAGGGTTAGAGCATGTTAGAGCCTTTTTTCTGGAAGCATGCTACCTTAGTTTCAGCATGTTTCAGCCATTTGGCCTTTCATATCCCACAGGGCAGTTGGTGAGTTCCTGTATTCTTCCTCCAACAAGTTCAACTTTTCGTTCATCATTCTGGCCATGAAGGTAAGGCCCAAGCACAAAAGATGAGATGAGAATCAGACATGAAGACTCTGCTGCTGGAATCTGCTAGATGTCTTCGGCTGGATGCCTTCGCAACACTGGCAGGACCGGTGACTTGGAATGGCGTTGCGAACAGCGTCAACAGGTGGAGCTTGCCTCAGTTTGGGAAGGGACTGTTCTCAGCCTGAGATCGACGTGGACAAAGATTGAGATCATGATCTGAGATCAAAGTATATCAAGTTTTGTCAAGGTAGAATTTAGATGTTTTCAGATGTTTTCAGATGTTTTTAGCTGTTTTTTAGATGGTTTTAAGTTTTCAGCAACAATTATAATTACAATTGTTATGCAAAAGATTCTGCACGCTGTCAGCCACTTGCATCAATCTGCGGCTGTTTATTGAATCACTGTATGCTCAAGACCAGCATCTATAGGTACGAGCTTCAACGTCGGGCAGAGGGCCGTTGGCCACATGGCTGCAGTTTTGACTGGAAGCTGGTGTAACTTTCGAACTGATAGTTTCAAATCCAAGTAGTTATGACCAGCCCGCAAATAATTCAGCATTTGTTGGAAGCCGCAAGAGCACTGATTGTGAAAATATTGTAAATATACGATCTCGGAAACCGACATGGAAAGGGCCGCGTCCAAGGTACGACAAAGGCCAAGGGCGTTTGATCCGAGGTTTCCGCGGCTGAGGTAGTTGTCAAGCAGTTCCTCTGTGCAAAAGTCATGTTGACGTCCAAAACCACACACGACACAATGTGCACGATGCACGATCAAGTATCGAGAGTATTGAGGGTTTACAATAGCAATGTGCGTTTTACATCATATTATGATCATATATAATTATATTTCAGACCTATATTCTGTGATAGGATGATGGATGACGTATACAGATAGAATTTGAAAGACCTCACAGCAGCGTTTTCAAGTTAGTAGTCGCCTTCATGTTAGAGCTCGGACATGCGGACACGTTGCCAGCTACAAATGGTTGGACGCTTGGGAACGCCACACAGGGCAGTTAATGCACCCAGGGTGTGAAAACAGCACCTTGTCCCGTGCCGTGCAGCTCGAAAAACACGAGACTCCGGCAGCTGAACATGCTGAACATCTCGTCGTGCTCAGATGAAAAGAGATCGCCCTGGAAGACCCCGGAGGAGAGCACTTTACAACATCTTGACTCTTGACATCATCGAGCTCATCGACCTCATCGAACCATTCGAAACGTATGGAAACATGGAGCTCACTTTCTCTTCGATCGTTTTCTCTTATTTCAATCATTTTGGATCTCTTCAAGTTTTAGTGGATTGCTTTTGACATGCAGACAGCAACATGTCTTTCTTCATTAGTTGCTGATGCTTGGAATCTCCGTGGACGCTTTCAAAGTCCGTAAGGTAAGATGGGAAAACATGTGTATATAATTGTATAAATAATATACAATAATATACAAAAATGCACAATAATATACAATAATATACAATAATATACAATAATATACAATAATATACAATAATATACAATGATAATATACAATAATATGCAATAATATACAATAATATACAATAATATACAATCATATACAAAATAAGATGCAAAATAAGATACACAATAATATACACTAGTATACAAAAATATACAATAATATACAAAATAAATCAAAATAATATACAATCATATGCAATCATATACAATATTATACAATAATAATTTACAATAACATACAGAATAATATACACTAACATACAATAATATGCAATAATATACAAAAATATGCAATAACATACAAAATAATATACAAAATAAAATCCTAATAAATATACTAAATAATATACAAAATAATATACAAAATAATTTACAATAATATACAATAATATACAATAATAATATACACTAACATACAATAATATACAATAATATACAATAATATACAATAATATACAAAAATATACAAAATAATATACAAAATAATATACAAAAATATACATTAATATACAAAATAATATACAATCATATGCAATCATATACAATATTATACAATAATAATATACAATAATATACAGAATAATATACACTAACATACAATAATATACACTAGTATACAAACATATACAATAGTATACAAAATGATATACAACATAGTTTACAAAATAAGATACAAAATAATATACAAAATAAGATACAATATTATACAATATATATATATTTCTCCATGTGTAAGCGGCAATTCAAGCTGGGCGTGGCATTGCGTACAGTCTGTCTAAGAGAGAATATTCAAGCAGTCGTGCGCGCGAAGTATCTAGATGTATGATGTCATGTGTTTACCTACATCTATTGATTCATCCAGCTATCTATTTGTCTGTCTATCTGTCTTTCTGTCTATCAATCAATCAATCTAATCTATTTTTCTACAGTATTGAATTCTATTATTGTATTCTATTCTCATACAATTTATTTTTAATCTAATTCAACTTAATGTAATCTAATCTAATCTAACCTGATTTAAGCTAATCTAACCTGATTTAATCCAATCCAATCTAATCTAATCTAATCTAACCTAATCCATCCAGCCATCAACGAATCCATTTATGTATGATTATATACCATTATGTACCCACATGTCGTGCACAACATGCCTACCCACATCACCTTGTACATCCAGGCATACGAATCCATACCTCTCTCAGCCCTCCAAGTCTGCGGCTGCCAACAGACCTTGGTGCGGAGCATCCATTCCAAGGGCTGGATGCAGGATAGAATTATCAGGCCTGGCTACTCTGTAGAAGCCGTGAAATTCTCACCACAAGTCGGGATACGATTCCCAGTTTGCCCTAGTGGCCACCAATCATCACGCTGTCTTGCAAAGCAGTTGTCAACAGACTACAAAGTCGGTGTCTTCTGTGTAAGAAATGGTTGATGGACTGGAAAAGGCCTCCGACTTCAGTGATCAAAGTTTGACTGCTAGCAGGTTCTCGTGGCACACAATCCTGAAAAACGTTGTGCTGCAATCTCATTTCCGTGCTATGCCATGGTAAACCACAATTCAAATGCTGCTGAATGACTACATTGACTCCGCAATTTTATGCAGGTATCCACGTCTTGGAGCATTTGAGGCAGTTGCTCCTGGGGCCTGGGGCGTTTCGTTCTGTGAAAATGCCAAGATGATTTAAGCCATCTTTGGACAAACCAGAGCAGTCATAGGAGCAACACCCTTCAAAATATACAGTATACCTCTCTCTCTCTCTCTTGCTATGTAGATATAGTACGTACAAATGTACACATGTATGCATGCATACATAGTTGATTTATACATATCAGCATAGGTACATTTATCCAACATGAGCATGTTTTGCTTTGCCCACTTTGTCTTAGACAACAGCAGGTGTATCACAAGTGGTTTTCAACTTCGTTAGGTATGGCTTTGTTTCCGGAGCAGCAGAGAAGAGGCGGGCAAACAGATGGACCCAGATGTTGAAGGTACAGGAATGTTCAACCAAATTCGGACGTAAAGCCAAAGCACCTTTTCACATCGCTTAGGCTACACCAGACGTGCACTGGATATTTATTGGTGGGAAAGTCGAGAGCTTCAAGGAACCGTCACAAAGATGACATGGAACACCTCAGGGTCTCAAGCCGTCACGGATCTTCGCCAGGACTTAAGAAATAAAATCTCATCCCGAAAGACCGGGTACAGGTCACCTTGTCCACAGGGGGAGGGGTTATTTTTTTTTCCGGATCAAGAATTTTTTTCTGGATAAAAAAAATCCGGATCAAAAAAAAATGGTATAAAAACAATAGCAACTAGTAGGAGGGAAGGAAAGGAAAAGGAAAGAAAAGGAAAGGAAAGGAAGGGACGGGAAGGAAGGAAGGAAGGTAGGAAGGTAGGAAGGTAGGAAGGAAGGAAGGGAAGGGAAGGGAAGGGAAGGAAGGAAGGAAGGAAGGAAGGAAGAAAAGAAGGAAGGAAGGAACAAAGGAAAGAAGGAAGGAAGGAAGGAAGGAGGGAGGAACGGAGGAAGTTCTGAAAACCGTATTCTAGAACACTTGTTGAAATTTATTCTCCAACTATATCTACTTGACTGATTTGTTCTGCCTCAACCTACGTTCTATATGCTCACAAGATGTATGCTGTGCAGCGTGGACACCCCTGAGTACCATATGCAACGGACAGCATTTGCACGAGAGAATAGGTATAGTCATTCTGCTTTGGGGGGAGGCGCTGCGCCCTCCCCCAACACCCCCTCCCGCTTTTTTGATCTTAATTCAAGTTTGCACACTTGTGAATACACTTCTCTACACACACATACATCTATATTTTGTATATATTCATGTGAATCTATTTAGTTTTATGTACACCCACGTAACTATAGTTATTTTCATGTACGTGCTGTATCCCTACATGAACCTTAAATAAATCCTAAACGGAGCCGAAACCAACCAACCTTTAACCAATGCTAAATAGACCTTAACTAACTCTAAATAGACCTAAAAAAAAGCCCTGAACCAACCCAAAGTGAACCTTAAACCAACCCGAAATAAATTTCAAACTAAAACCTACAGATGTCTTAAGCCAGCACAATGACAACATCCAATGGAACCTTTACAGCCAACACAGTTCTGCCTCAACCTACATTCTAGATGTTCACAAGATGCATGTTGTGCAGAACAAGCACCCTGAAAACCATGTAAAATCATTGAAGCCATGGAAAAATCAATAAGGTATTCATGTATAATTAAATGCATCCATATAAGTATAGTTATTTAAATGTACATGTTGTATCCCTAAATAAACCCTAAACAAACCCTAAACGTAACCTAAACCAACCCTAAAGAAACCTGCAACCAACCTTAAATAGACCCTAAAGTGGCACCAGACACCCCTGAATATCATATGTAACCTACAGCATTTCACGGGAGAACAGGTATAGTCATTCTGCTTTGGGTGGAGGCGCTGCGCCCTCCCCCCAATCCCCCTCCTCCCGCTTTTTTTATCTTAATCCAAGTTTGCACACTTGTAAACACACTACTCTACCCATATGTATATATATATACAATATATATATATATATATGTATTATGTATGTATTCATTTAAATCTATTTAGGTTTACTTACACCTACGCAACTATACGCATTTATATGTACAGTTTGTGTCCCTAAACGCTAAATAGATCGTAATCTAACCCTAAAAAATCTGAAATAGAACCGAAATCAACCCTAAAGAGACCCTTAACTAACCTTAGATGAACCATAAACAAACCCTAAACTAACGCAAAATGAACCCTAAACCAACCCAAAATAAACCTTAAAACCAAAACCGAAAGATGTCTTAAACCAGCACATGACGTCATCCAGTGAAACCTTACAGCCAACACAGTTCTGCGTCAACTTACATTCTAGATGTTAACAAGATGCATGTTGTGCCGAAAATGCACCTTGAGCATCATGTAAAATCAATGAAAAGCATGGAAAAATTATGAAAACCATGGAAAAAAACATTTTGCAGTCTGACCCATTGACACCAGTTTTGCGCTTGGAAAAAAAGGGATGCTTTGCATGTGATGTGTAGCGTTGGCCCTGAATAATTTTTTTTGATGCTTTCGAGCAGCTTGATCTCCCCTAGCCTCGGGGGATCAAGAAAAAATATTTCCAGATCAAAAAAAATTAAACCTAACCTACCACTAAATTTAGATGAAATAGACAATATGTTTTTAAGATCCTAGTGGTTTATTTTTTTTGATCTGGAAAAATGTTTTTCTAATCCTCCACTCTGTCCACATCATTAGATTATTGCCGGATGTGCTGCGACCGTTTTCCTTTCGCCCCAATGTACTTCCAGTGTGCTTTGGAAAGCTTCCAAGTGACGTCATGGGAAACCAATTTCTTCATCTGATTTTCATCAGTCACATGACATCCTGTGACATCCTGTACACGCATTGGTGAATGGAGGTCTTCTCGAAGTTGAAGACTGGGCGATGGCCAAATCCCCAATGGTTGGCTGAGCGAATCCTGAAGGTGCCACACTGCACTGGGTGCAGAATGCCCGGCTATGGATTTCAGGACACCGTTCACGCCAAATACGAGAAAGTGAAACACCACCAAAATCCTCACACAGCCCAACCGTCCTAGCTTCCGTGAGCCTCAGGGGATGGGGGGATGCTATTTGGCCCAATGCTATTTGGCGCATTGCCACTTGAGCTGTATCATGTACACAAACCACACAAAACACAGAAATCCCCAACACACCTGACTGTCACGCATTCATGCTTGAATGGATTGATTGATGGATCGATGGGTAAATCATCATAGATAGATCCATCTGTAGATAGGTAGATAATTACACAGAACATCACAGAACCACGTGAAGAAGTGCAAACCACACAAGCCCATTCCACAACAATCCACAACAGCTTTGCATGGCATTTGGTCAGCATGCGGTGAGCTTCCCATGACAGCGCTGGCTTCTGCCTACCAGTGCCCAGTTCTTCTCTGAGGATATTCATTTTGGCAGTTTTTCAATTTTGGCAATGAAAATGACTCTGGTGTGGCCGCCGTGGCCTTCCTTCTTCGTAAGTGTCTTCATGGTGGCTTCTTTTGCTGCCACCTTTGCAGATTATTATTTGTCCATTGGGCCGATTTGGGTCCAGCTCAGACAGAATCCTGGCCACTCCAACACCAGCAACACTAGCAGCACTAGCATCACCAGTTACCACATGCTGCAAATGCCGCACATGCCCATTGTCGGGAATCCTGACGAGCTGCCAACCCTATCCACCCCATCCTTATTGGAAACCAAGGTGGGATTGAATTTGCCATCATTTGACGGAGAGGTGCCTTGTTTGAAGTTTATTCATATCCCAAAGACTGGGGGGACCAAGATCTCTATGCAGGCTCTTGATCACAAGATCCGCTGGGGCATGCTGGGGCATATATGAAACCTCCTTGAAGTGTTCTGACAAAAGAAATTGCACGGACTTTGCAGCCAAGCGAGAATGCTGCTACTCACAACAAGAAGCGTCGCAAGCGCAGCATCGCTGCAGCATTTGGCATACGCCGCCAGCGGAAGATTCTTTGATTGCGGAGAGTTACGCAGGCTGCCAGACGTTTTGCGTCGTTCGGAACCCTTTCTCGCACTTCATCAGTGAGTTCAGGTGGCACATCGTTAACTGGACCCTCAGAGAGCCGGGTCAGGGGGTTAACTTAAAAAAACTTTGTTCGCACGATGTCTTCATGAAGTACAGTAAAGAACGAATGCAGCAAGATGCTGCAGCTGTACTGGACTTTACGGATGATTGCCATCGAATGCCGCAATCGAAGTATGTGATTTCCGACGACAAGAAGCACTCCTATTGCAATCACGTGATCCGCTTTGAGAATCTCACAGAGGAGTTCAATACCCTCATGAAAGCTTACAACTTTTCAGTGCGCTTGGACACGAGCAAAACTAATTCCTTCGCTGTCAGATTGAACTTTCGCAGGAGCTTAAGATTTGGATTTACAACCGTTACCAGCTGGATTTCGAACTTTTCGGCTACACCAATGGCTCTGCTGGCTGAACGCGTTGAACTTCAGGAGCCAGCGTCGCAAAGAACGACCAGGAAGATTGCATGGTCACAAAGAAGCGCTTCCCCTCTTGGTGAGGTATTCCACAAAAGTAGAGTCGTATTTGAGGCATCCAATTGGTAAACCGTTTTCATACAAGCCATTGATATTGATTAATTAGATCTGATTAGATGATACATGATGATACCATTGGTTAAAAGCAAAAGTCACAAAAGTCCATTCTTCCAACCATTTTCACATGGCTGCTGTTTCTTGCAATCGTGGCCTGGGGCCATTGCCGGGGCGGCATGGGCCGTGCCGAAAGATGCATGTGGGGAGGCCGTCTCTGTTTGTCAATGGAAAAACGACAGTTTATGGATTTCAATGGATTTCATGGTCATGTCTAAATCCTTCTTTTGAATATTTGTGGGTGAACAGCAAGTAGTGCTCCTCTGTGCTACCAATGTTTTTTCCAACAGATCTATCGCCAATGGAAAAACGACAGTTTATGGATTTCAATGGATTTCATGTTCATGTCTAAATCCTTCTTTTGAATATTTGTGGGTGAACAGCAAGTAGTGCTCCTCTGTGCTACCAATGTTTTTTTCCAACAGATCTATCTATCTATCTACCTATCTATCTATCATCTATCTATCTAGCTATCTATCTATCTATCTACCTATCTATCTATATGATTGTGTTTTTTCAACATTTCCATGTGTCTATCCTTAACGGCTGGAATCAGTTCATTTTGGCTGTGGAGCACTCTTGCCACCCTGAAGGTCGCTGAGCGCTTGAACGTTTGGGACGAGGCATGACCTCCAAAACATTGGGTGGACCGATAGTGAGTTGAGTTGATGATTTTGAAGGTACATGGATCTCTCTCTCTCTCTCACTCACTCACTCACTCACTCACTCTCTCACTCACTCCCTCACTCACTCACTCACTCACTGACTCACTCACTCACTCACTCACCCACCCACCCACTCACTCACTCACTCACTGACTCACTGACTCACTCACTGACTCACTGACTCACTGACTCACTGACTCACTGACTCACTGACTCAATCACTCACTCACTGACTCACTGACTCACTGACTCACTGACTCACTGACTCAATCACTCACTCACTCACTCACTGACTCACTGACTCACTGACTCACTGACTCACTGACTCACTGACTCACTGACTCACTGACTCACTGACTCACTGACTCACTCACTGACTCACTCACTCACTCACTCACTCACTCACACCCCTTCCTCCCTCCCTCCCTCCCTCCCTCCGTCTCTCCTGCCGTCCGTCCTTCCGTCATAGAAAGGAGATGGTGGATGGATGGGATGGCTGGGATGGGATGGGATGGGATGGGATGGGACTGGATGGATGGATGAGGAAGGCATGTATGGATGGTTTGGTGTGTGTGTGTGTGTATGTATACACACTCTATTACATGTAGAATATAGATACTAGTAGATGATTGATAGATGGATGGATGGATGGATGGATGGATGGATGGATGGATAGATGGATGGATGGATGGATGGATGGATAGATAGATAGATAGAGAAGAGAGAAAGAAAGAAAGAAAAGAAGAAATAAAGAAAGAAAGAAACAAAGAAAGACACAAAGACAGAAACAAAGAAATAAAAAAAAGGATTACATAGATTAGATAAATTATAGATTTGATAGATTTGATAGGTTTGATAGATTTGATTAGATAGATATGTAGATAGATTAGATTAGATTAGATTAGATTAGATGATTAGACTAGACTAGACTAGATTAGATTAGATTAGATAGACTAGGTTCGATTAGATTAGATTAGGTTAGATAGATAGATAGATAGATTAATTAGATAGATAGGTAGATAGATAGATAGGTAGATAGATAGATAGATAGGTAGATAAATAGATAGATAGAGATACATTGAGATAGATGGAGACAGATGGAGATACAAGCGCTAGCGTTAAGTCGTATCAGCTCGTAAAAGTCGTATCGGGAGGCCGTGCGCCTGGAAAAAGTTCAAGTTTGGCATCACCACAACTTTTAGCAATTGAACGATTTCATTGTTTTGGGGCCGTGCGCCTGGAAAAAGTTCAATTTGTGTATTGCGTTGATTTTTAAAACGTATGTTTGATCATTCTTTCAAGGGGTCAAACGCTGGTTGCTGCTTGCTTGCTGCTTGCTTGTTGCTTGCTTGCTGCTTGCCTGCTGCTTGCTGCTGCTTGCTGCTGCTTACCTGCTGCTTGCCTGCGGCTTGCTGCTCCTGCCGCTCACCTGCTGCTTGCCTGCTGCTTGCCTGCTGGAGATGGAGATAGATGGAGATAGATGGATTTTGATGGATTTAGATGGATTTAGATGGATTTAGATGGATACAGATAGATGGATATAGTTGGATATTGATGTGGATGCATATGGATGCATATGGATGGATATAGATGGATATAAATGGATAGAGATGGATGGATAGGTGGATAGATAGACAGTGTGGCAGAGAGATGTAGAAAATTACCTGCGTCTCTCTCGTTCTCCCTCCGTGTAGAATGAATCATTGAACAAGCACAAATCAAATTTCATTCCAGACATTTACGTTTCGAGCGTGTTATCCCCAAATGAGTGGAATTGTGCCATTCTTGGCATTTTGCCAGTTTATTTCGTTGTGAAAGAGCCATATACCCATTCAAAAAAACACGAATCCAGCCCACAATTGCTGTGAACAAGGGAGCATTGAAATTCGGCTGAACGAGGGCGGATTTGGTAGTTAGTTGAAAACACACATTTTTAGGGGGTCCTCTGTGAGAACATGATCCCAGTGGACCAACGCATTTGGGGCGGTTGAAACCACCGCAGATAGCAATCATTGCTATTAACAACTGTTTGAACCCCCGATCACTCCGCACACATTTCATCGCATGTGGGCCATTGTTTGATCAACTGTAAGTTGAAGAGTTTGACCCTATGTTACAGGCACCACCCCCTCCCGTGACTGCCCAGGCGTCTCCTTCTAGCTGCTCTGTGTTGCTTGTTTGCATGTGTCGGACAAGAAAAACACGCCTATGGTACAGGAAGATAGCTGGAGAAGTCGTGTCAGAACTTAAAAGCAAATGCATGGCGATGATGAGAAGGAAATGAACCATGGTTTGGCTGGTCGAAATTACAGGTCGAAATTACAGTAACATACAGTAACTCATTGTTTGTTGGGATGGTTCCTTCATCGGATCAGAGTAGCAGGTATGTGCCGCTGCTTTGAATGCTTGCCCCTTTGTGCTGACTACCTTGTCGCCAAGGTTTGCAGTTCCTGAGAAGGTGGGGATACGCCTGGAGATTTGTGGGGATATCGCTGATTATCGCTGGATGCTGATTTACTCTGGACAGTTCCATTGGCGCTCTGGATTTGGCTGTTGCATGTGAATCCCTCTCATCCCTGGGTCAGGCTCCGAGCGGCTTCGTCGCGTCGAAACGGTCCGAGGCAGGTTTTTGTGGACGCTCGTAGAAAACTGTACTTGAACTTGACCAATCCAACATGTCCAAGGAAAACCACCCAGCAGATCCAGCAGCATAACACATACCAAGATCTACATTGAATGTCGAATCATTGTCGAATCATTGTGTGTCATTATGCTTATCTCCCTGAATTCAGGGCTCTGCTTGCCGTGGCAGGTCACCTCTGCACCGAGATTCGGCGTGGCGGAGGTCATCAGGGAGTAGACGCCAACAACTTCGATGCGTAGTTTGAGCCGCGGTAAGCTGGAAAGGCGAAAGGACTCCCTGCAGTCACTGCCGTCCCTAACCTGCCCAATATATATATATATATATGTAATTATGAATAATACAATATATTTATATATATATATTTGGGGGAATAGAGAAGATGGAGATATCGAGATGATGTCAATGCAGGTGTCGAATGGCCACCACTTGGTTGCTGCACGGTGTCAGCATCCTATAATTGATGCAAGGCCGTCTTGATGCAAGGCCGTCTTGTCATCAGGTGGAAGATGGAGCCAATGTCAATGATGCTAGCGCAGCAAAGCCGGTGAACTTCTCAGCACTTGGAGACCGACACGGCCCAAAAGGTATGCCGCATGTGTGCCACAGAATCTGTTGAA